TGAAGCCCCTTCCAGGCCCCGCAGCTAAACCCTAATGCAGACATCTTCAGTTCTGTTAGAAGTCACATCCCAGATATGAATGTCAGGAATAGGGGTGATCTAGTACGAAGGAAGCTACGGGAATTCGGTGGGAAGCATATAGAGCACAATTTGAGCTCCTGGCAGAGATGAATGGATGGACAGAGGAGCAGAAAGCAGTATATCTGGCAACGAGCTTGAAGGGACAACCACTGGAAATACTTGGACAGTTATCAGCAGATGACAGGCACAACTATAGAGCACTGGTAGCGGCTCTAGAACTCAGGTACGGAACCCCAAATCAGTCTGAAGTCTACAGGGCTAGGTTTAGGACGAGAGTCTGTGCTAAAGGGGAGAGCCTGCAAGATCTGACACAGGATTTGGAAAGTATGGCGCACAAGGCCTACCCAACTGAGCCACCCGATCTCCTCAAATTGTTGCTGAGGGATCAGTTTGTAGACGCCTTGGACAGACCAAAACTGAAGATACAAATGAAGCAAGCACATCCCTATAATTAACATATTTTGTAGTTTTGAAACCGCTGAAAAGGGTATTTAAGTTATAGTTATCCTACGAGTAAATAAATGCCTGTGGATCTATATGTTCATAAATCTTTTAACACTCGAAGAAGCTTGTTTGTTTGGTTTTGAATTTCGCACAAAGGGCTGTCTGCGCTAAACGTCCTTAATTTAACGGGGACTAGAGGAAAGGCAGCTAGTCATCACCACTTACTGCCAACTCTTGGGCTACTCTTTTACCAACGAATAGTAGAATTGGCCGTTACTTTATAACGCCCTCACGACTGAAAGGGACAAGCATGTTTGGTGGGATGAAGATTCGAGCGCCCTAACCACCTGGCCATGCTGGGCCTCTTGGGGAAGAAACAAGCCTGCAACATATATTCATGTATGAACAGTTTAACTGGAGTGGTTAAATCTAATTCACTTTATTAACTTCCGTCGACTAACATAGCTATGTTGTTTACTGTCTTAGTAAACCATCAGATAAATGCTGTAAAGTAAAATGATTTTTTGCCTGAGAATTTATTTAAACATTCGGAATTTCAATAGTTCAGGTGGACATTGATTCTGTTTAACATTCGCATTCCTAGAGTTTTGAGCTGTCCAGCCTAGTTTTATTAATAATATTCGATCTAGGGAAAGCTATTACTTTAGCAGAGATAAAAATTTTAATTCTGACAATTTTATGAAGAAACCAGGCTGAGAGTAATTTATATTTCGCAATCGCCATGATTTGAATTTGAACTCACCAAAATAATAGCATAAGCTGTATTACTAGCATTGCTAACATAATAGAGGCAGCAGTGTTCGTGGCCAGAATAGTATTCGATCTGATGATGGTCAGATAGTTCTGTACACATGTTTAATTACGTTCAAGCACATGCATAAGTGTAATTTACAATAAGGACTTGTCGACTCATATCTTTCAGTAACGAAGGTTGTCACTACTTATGTTTAGACAAGGCCAACGGAAGCGATAGCTTTGGTAGGGTTAAAGCTCTACCACATTTTAGGGCAATGATCACGTGACTTTTAAAATCAAATTTGGTCTGGGGAGCATGCCCCCGGACCCCCTAGATTAAATTGCCTCCTGCAGATGTATAGCTGCACACTTGATGGCCCTACCAGCAAAAGGTAGCTTCCTCCGGAGCTGTTAGAGTTAATCCATTCATCATTTTTCTTATCATTACAGCTGTCTTAATTTGACTATTTGAATGGTTTGTTTCAAATATAGGAATTGAATTTTTGTTCCATAGCATGACTTCATAGCATTTTCAGTCATGTTTGGTAACAGTTGATTTTTCAAAATTCTTATATTTTATGTAAAAACGAGGTTATTTCATCATCATAGTTTTTACCACAGCTATAAGTGAAACAGTAAACTCCTTTCCAATTTTCATGTTGTCTGTGAGTTTCTCTTGAGTTATCAACCTGTTTACAGAGTATTGGTTTGAACCTGATATCTATTTTGTAGCCTTGATTAAACAAAATTGTTCCAAATATATACGGTATTAAGACATATTTGATCAACTAATTAAGGTTAATCGTCTCGTTTGTGACAATGTTTTGCCAGGTTGAATGGTTTGTTTGAACTGAGCTATCTGTGCTCTGCCCACCAAGGGTATCGAAACCCGGTTTCTAACGTTGTAAGTCTGCAGACATACCGCTGTACTACGGGGGGGGGGGACAGGTTGAATGGTTCGTTTAATTAAGAACTTGGGAAAATCATTGGCTTAAAACACTTGCTATGTTATGGACCACTTTTTCTTGTTGATCTTTCAATGTCAACCTTTGCTTTCTAACAATAATGTTTCTGAATACGCTTTTTTGATGGCCTTCGAATGACTGAATATGAAATAAAGATGTCTTTTTGTATGAGTTTTACTTTATATACTTGATTTTGGGGAATTTTGTTAGTTCTGTTGCCCGTACAATCTAGGAAAATACTTTGGTGGTTGTATTCTCCTTTTCTCGTGAAGTTAATAAATGATTGTGGAATTCTCCTAGTTCGTATATTTGCATGACCGTACTATTAGTGTATCATTCACAAAACAAAACCAAAATTTAGCTTTAAAATAGCATTTTTAAAGCCTGTTCTTCAAAAAATTCCATACACAGACGATCGATGAAAGTGGTGGTCCCATTGGCATAACCATTAACCATGTCTAGTACTTGAAGTTTCTTGAGATATAATTACAGTTCAAACGTTTTGTGTAATGATCTGAGTGATACCATGTGCAGTTATATGATCGTTGCTCGAGGGTGTGGTCGTTTTGCAGTTTCCTAGTGACAAAAATAAATATCTCATGAATCGGAACTTCAGTAAAAACTAGTATCATTTTTGAAATCAGAATATGAAAACCATAGGTAAAGAATAATGTTATCCCCCGACAAGGACAACAATTTCTTTGTTTGTTGTAGAGCAAAGCAACATTGGACTATCTGTTATATTCACTGAAGGGAATGGAACCCCCGATTTTAGCGTTGTAAGTCCGTAAACTTACCCCTGTCCCACCGGGAAACATGATGAAAGAAGTCGTGCTAAATATATCACTAATCAATAGGAAGATGAGTTGGTGAAACACATATCTTAATAAAGTAGTTGTCTTTCAAAATTTGTGATAAAAAGGTTAGAAATAAATGATATTGTTACGACAACGGAAGTCACGTAACGCTGGTAACATGTGATGAGTTTCTAGAAGGATGGGGAACATCACGAATAATCCAGTATTTGCTAGGCGCCCTCTATTTTAGTATATAAGCCGGCAAATAAAATGAGGGCAATAACTGAATTGCAGACAAAGATATATAGAGACAGATAATCGAGTCAAGCCATAAGTAAAGTGCGTGAATCGTTGTGAATTCTAGCGTGTGTTTAAGTTAAAGTGACAGTGGAAATTAAGTGTATTGCAAAGTTGTATTGAGAAAGAATAAACTGGTTTTATTTAAGAATGGACTTGCATCGCTGAAGTTTTTCGGGAAGAATTTCTACGGGAAATTAACAAACGAACAGAGACGTAACGATATATATATATATATACTCCATATAATTATTTTTAAAACTTTTCATTTTAACCAACGTTTCGCCTTTATATGTACTAACCCTGGTGAAGCCGCAAAGGCAAAACATTAGTTAAAATACAAAGCTATTTTATAATTATCTGGAGTATAAAGGTTTGTTTGTTTGAAGTTAAGCACAAAGCTACACAATGGGCTATCTGTCTCTGCCCACCACGGGTATCGAAACCCGGATTTTAACGTTGTAAGTCCGCAGACATACCACTGTGCCATTGGGGGGCGAGTATAAAGGTCTTTTTTTTCTGATGTTAATGAAATAGTACTTCTTCTTTGTGAATTTTGGAGTGAACATAAACACATTTTCGAATATTTCTTTGATAGTTTGTGTAAAAACTAATAAAAGACATGGCTGATTTTCTTGTAAGTTTATTTTTCTCTATAATTGCTTACCTCACATTATATAAATTTGGATGTGCAAATTTAACTTTCAGTTCAATAACCAATAATAAAAGCCACTGTTTCATGACCAGCTGAGCGTAGCCCATTAACTAATGTTGGACTATGGATCTGCGGGTTCATCATTCGAGTCTCCTTGCAGGAAGTTCTAAGGAAAAGGTGCGACGCAGTTTGAGGCCGTGGGTGAATTATAAGGATGACGATCAAATAACTATTCGGTCAGCAAGAGTAGCCCAAAAGTTGGGGGTGAGTGCTGTTGATTAGCTGCCTTCACTTTAGTCTATCAGCTCAAGATTAGGGATGGCTAGCTCAGATAGCCTTGAGTAAATTAGCACGAATATCCGAAAATAAACAAACAAATATTTCCTGTCTTTCAGTTGTTATCTAAGAACTCCAGTTCAGTTCTGCATCCTTGGTAATGTCCAAAAGCATAGTCAGCCTTTACCTATGTGATATGAAAACATATTAGTTAACATTATTTGTGTGCTAATATGTAAGATTTAGGTTAATTTCGAGACACAGATCCCGAAAGTGTTCCACCACCTGGTTCTTAACTATGCATTGATATGATAAGAAAATTATCAATTTCTAACATGAATAAAAATATTGAAAACTTTAACTTTTAAAACTATTTTACTTATTCCATGTTATGTTGTGAATTTCGAAATAGTGATCTTATCGTTGATTACATATTTTTAATCAACTATTGAAATTATTGATAGCGATACTTTGTTTCTTTCAATGCTTTTCGTATTGTTACGTCTCCGTTCGTTAGTTAATTTTCCGTAAAAATTATTTCGAAGAAACTTTACCAATACAAGTCCTTTCTTAAATAAAACTGGTTTATTCTTTCTGAATACAACTTTACGATACACTTAATTTCAACAGTCGCTCTATAACAAACGCTATAACTCACAACGAACTTCTCACGTGCTCAACAATATTCTTACTCATTACCTTACGTTGCTTCTTGGCCGGTCTTATATAGACAAGACTACCCCAATCTAGTAGTCTCCTGACGTTTCGAAGGTTCGAGAAGGAAGTGGTGTGATACAAGCTTCACGTGATCTGCATTGTCGTAACAGCATACTATTTTATCAAACGAAAATATGTAGTATTATTAACAGGAAATTTAGTGTATGATAATTAAATCAAGTGAAAAACAAGTATAATTTGCTACGATTTTGAAGTTAGGTGGTTAAAAAATGGCGTTGTAAAAATAGGAATTAAACTAGGATTAGGAGTAAGTAAGAAAATTGTCACAGTTTTTGTAATCCTAATGTTGTTTTAATGGGGATGTTAGTATATTTTGTTGCCTCTTTTATTTAAAGTAATAACAATAAAAATTTTGGTCTAAACTATGACTACCCTTGACTAGACCCTATGATACGTTTATTGTATATTGTGCCTATTTCTTTCTGCGGGAAGGATTAGCTTCGTATCGCTGATATATTATCATTATCAAGTAGCCTAACCCTTAACCCCGAGGCTTACGTTAATGCAGGTAGAAAATTGTATAATAAAGTAAATTTTAGGGTAAAGAATATATATATTATACGATATTTATTGAACATTCAAATATGCTGTGTTATTTCAGTTCAATTACGATACAGTTAGAATGCAGAATAGTAACCTACATCAGAATTAAAACTAGTAAAAGTAAAACTGTTAAATACGCACAGATTTAGCTCTCGAATCTACTTGCGTACTTCACGTTTCTTGTTTTTAAAAATGAGTTAGGCAATATAAATTCATTTGATTAAATTATTGACTAACCTACAATTTAGGCTTAGCTCCCAAGTGTTAAATGGGCCAAATACAAATTAATTCTATATGGTATGTTGAAGTTTTACGCACCCAAACAATTCTACCCTCCCACTCCTTAAAACGTCCATCAAAGTTCCACGTTTATAGACCATCAAGGAAATGTTTTAAAGTTTCAAAATATTTGTCTTTTTATTTTCCTATATGCTTTGTATTTGTAAAAATTTGAAAATGTAATTAAACAACTTTTTTAGTTTACATTTGGTTTCAGATTGTTTTTAAAAGGAGGTGTAGTCAAATTTTCGTTCTTCAACTGTACTAAAATGAACAAATAGTGATATTGATTCTGTTTGTAGGAATTTTGAACTTACAAACAAGAAGGTTAGTATTGCCACCTGTTTGGGGTTCCATAAATCCTAGTTCCATCATCTATTTCAGTCGTCTGGTTGGAAAGTGAAATTAAGAAAGGAAATCCCAGTTTTCTGGATCTTCAGTATAAAATTCAACATTTATGTTTAAGTAGAAAAGTGACTTGTATAATTTATGATAAATATAAAGCATTTTTTCATATAATTCTCGAATATTTAGCTTATGACAGTAAAAACTGGGCACAATTTCATGCAGTCCAACCTGTATTTAATACAGAATCACTTATAATAGTACTGTAAAAATAAATATCTCTAGCTTCAAGTTTTATACTTGTCTGTCTGAATCAATTTATGAAAAAGAGTTAGCAGATTTTGTGAGTTAATGTTTCCAATAAAAACTAGAGATAATTTTATTTCATAATATTAAGCTGTTTGTTCACTCTTCTAGATAACCTAGGTGGATACATTTATCACCAAAATCTTCCAATCCTACTTTTATAAGACTGAGGAGACCTTATTTAGAGTGCATGTAGGAGAGATTTGGGCAACAAAAATTATATCTGGCTTAAATAATTTAGTTTGTAGAAGCAACTTACAGCTTTAGACTTGTTTTCTTTGGAATGTGGAAGAACTGAATGAAATTTGGCTCAGAATGGTTTGGGATATGAACACTCATCTCAGTTTGGTCTGTTTGAGTGGTGGGTGAAAAGGTTAGAAACACAAACTTGAATACTATGGACAACAAGTTGGAGCTCTAAATGTAAACTCATCTTGAAAATAATTTTTTGTTTCAGTTAAGAATTATAAGCTTGTAGAATAGTTTACCTTCTGATTTTGTCGTCACGTATAATAAATGTATGTAAATGGCTATTCTCAAGTTGAATTAAAAAGTGGGTTAGTGGATTTTTATTCATGTTTTTGGTTGTTTAGATTCAGTATGTAACAAGTTCAATTTATTAAAGATTTCAAATATGTATTTATACTACTTAAAAGAGTTAATATTGTTGAAGTGAATTAATTTCCTATGTTTGGTTACATGTAATGATCACAGTATGAAGGCTATGCATGGGAAGGTAACACTTCCTCTAAAGCTAAAGACCGTACATATAATGTTATTTATATCTCATTTAGGAAAACTTGTAGCAATCCATTTATTTTATAATTTTTTGACTATTATATGTCTTGAACCAAAACCTCTCTGCAGAAAAATCATGTTTGATAACCATAATATAGACTAGTCAAACTTAACAAAAATACTAATTTGAAGCAAAACCAAAAAAAATAAAAACAGCCATATTGATATAGCACTTTAAGAAGTTGAACATTGAAAGATTTAGTAATGAATATCTGACCAGATATTAACTGGCTGGTAAACTATTTGCTAGAATACTCAAGTGACAAGTGTATTAGACAAAAGATATGTTAAAATTATTATTGAAGTTGAGAACTTTAATGGAATGCAAATATCTGTTAAAATAAAAAGGCATGAGTATAGAAGCCAAAACATTATTCTCCTCTTCAGGAAGTTGCAGTCCATCAAAGTTTTCAAACATACAATGTTTACTCTGCCTATTATTACATTTCTCAAGTTACAAAAGTTAATTATTTTAGTTTCCACGTGTTTAAGACTTAAATTTAGTTAAAATAATATTTTTAAAGTGAAATATGAGGAGTATGATTCAGCTATTTCTTTTTTTCTTCAGGTTCATACTTGGATCTGGAGCCCCTCAGTGTCAGTTTCAGAAGTTGTGCAAACAGCATGGCTTCTAGAATATCCAACTCCCAGCCCATTAACATAAGTGGATGGGAGGTGCCTGTTAATTCCAGGAAAAATCAGCGAGATAGGGATAATGTGATTACATACTGTAGACATGAAGATGACAAAGTAGTAGCATCCATAAATAACACTCCAGGTTCACTTAATCATGGTGGACATGTTCTGTTCAATTGGCAAGCAGGCAAAGCCACAGTCAAAGAAAGATTGGCCTTTATTTTTAATAAAGAAATCTTGAGTGATGTACATTTTATTGTAGGAAAAGGAGCTCAGCTGCAGAGAATTCCAGCTCACAAGTTTGTTCTTTCTGTTGGTAGTGCTGTGTTTGATGATATGTTTAATGGTGCCATGGCAACAAGCTCAGGTGAAATAGACCTCCCTGATGTTGAACCTGCAGCTTTTTTGGCTTTACTTAGGTTTTTATACTCTGATGAGGTTCAGATTGGTCCAGAAACTGTAATGACAACATTGTATACAGCCAAAAAATATGCTGTTCCTGCTTTAGAAAAAGCTTGTGTGGACTTTTTAAAGTCTAATCTGAGTAGTGACAATGCCTTTATGCTCCTAACCGAAGTGCGATTGTTTGATGAACCGCAACTTGCTGCTCTCTGCCTTGAAACCATTGACAAATGCACCTCTGAAGCACTAGCTGCAGAAGGTATTACAGACATTGATCGCGATACTCTTTGTGCTGTTTTAGAGAGAGAAACTCTCCAAATCAGGGAAGCAAAGCTATTCAATGTAGTTGTCAGGTAGTGTTATATTTTCTTTTATTCAAATACTGGTTAAGTGAGATATGTAAAAATGGCTTAAGAATGTGAACTTACAGGTCATATTTATAACTTGTTTTTAGGTTTATGTTTTGTATCCAAAAAGTTAAATCCATATAGTATACTATTATGTTTAGTTAGACATTTAGCTTTATATACAGTGTAAGGTGTAATTTAAAAGTAGGTGAAAAGGACTTAGATATGTTTATTATAGGTGTATATTGTAATTTATTGGAAACTTTTAATTTGGAGTTTGAACAGGATAAGAATTGTCTTATATATATATACATAACCTATTCTTCCAATATGCAGTGGTCCTCCATCAATAGAAGTGCAACAAACTCTCCTATCGCAGCTGACTCCCTCTATGCAGTTGAACCCAATCTTGACTTCTTGATTTGGCACAACATTGTTAAGACCTAGTGCTTGATTTAAATTTATTTTTTCTTTAGCGCATTTGGAACATTCTCAAAGTATTGTTTATAATCCACCATAAAGTTGGATTTCTTTATTTGATTGTGAATTCTATTTATCACTTAATTACCAGTAGTCAGTCAGTATTTTTGAATTCACAATTTACTATTATTACTACAGTGACTATCAACAAGTATGTTGTGTTTTGTCTTTGTTGCCCATGTCATTTGATCCCTCCCCTTTGTTATTAACTGCAGCACCTATTTCTGAATTTTTGATTTCCCCCTTCCCCTAATATTAAGATCCATGCTGAATGTTTTGCAGACCAATTATGTGCAGGGATTAATATACCTCACCCCCCCACCTACTGCAGAGGCTCATGCATTTGTATATCATCATTCGGCAAACTCTTGGGTCATTTGAGTTTTGTTAGAAGGACTCTCCCTCCTTTTCCTCACACTACCACCTTATCTTCTGTCCCAGTCCCTTTCCCATCCCTCAAGATCCCGTTTCCCGCCAGTGAATCACAGAAGCAGTTCAAGACCTTCTCATCAAGGGTGCCACCAAACAGGTCTCTCCTGTGCTTCCAGGATTATATTCCCAACTTTTTGTCGTCCTTAAGAAGACCCATGTATTGTCATCCTGTTTTCGATCTATCCCATATGAATTGCTTTCTTGACGTGCCTCTGTTCACCATGGAATCCTACCAGTCTCTCTTATGAGCATTTCTTCCAAAGCTTTGGATGATGCACTTCGATGTATTCAATGCTTATCTTCACATTCCTATTGCTTGGGCCTCACATCATTATCTATGTTTTGTCTGTGAGGATCACATTTATCAATTCTGAGCTCTTCCTTTCTGGCTGGTATCGGCACTCTACACTTTCTGTCTGGTGGTCCAGTCATTTGCCCAATTCCTATGATTTCACATTCTCACTTTCCTTCTTTATATGGACATCTGGTTTCTTCTAGCTCCATCCTTCACAGTGTCTTAGACACCCAATTTCTCATCTGTGATGTCGAGATAACTATTGAAAAAATAATTTTAGATATAAATGTGACTATAGTAACTTAGTGCAAATATTTTATTGGGAGATTTAAAAGTAAGATTGGAATATGTATTACTGAAAAGAAAATACATGAAACAATAGTCATATATAGCAAGTGATATGAAATATGTCAATTAATCCAGAAATAAATTCATAACATTTTAGCCTTATCCAGATGTTCAGATTGCTGTTTAAAAAATAGGATTTAAAAAAATAATAAAAATAAATTATTGTTAGCCATCTGAAGAGGTTTGAAGTTGATTTAAAAAAAAATAGGGACATTATAAACAATTTTCTCGTAACTTTTTAATCATTCACATAAATCTTCTGCATTTGCCAAAATAAAGGAAGTAAAAACTCTTTAATTTTTCTTTGTATAAAACACTTGTCAATCCTAAAAATTATATTTTATTTAATATTATTATAAAGTTCTGTGACAATCCTACTATTGTAGACAAAATGAATGTATTAAATTGAATGTTAAAAAGTGTAACTCCATTTCTTCTTTCAACTAATGTTTAATCCACCTTATTATACAAAGTATCTTCCTTAAGAACATTTTAGAGTAATAAAAGTGTATCAAGTTTTTATATATTCATATCAAACTCTATCCCCCCAAAAAACTACAAATCTATTTATACATTTTAGTTGTTGTAGCAACCATTTTTGTCTGGGTGACCAAAAATGGTATTTTAATGACCTATGGGCAACTACTTAATGCTATTTTTCTATTAATTTTTCTTTTTCCATATGCACCTTTCTCAGTATTTTGCAAAGCTGTTGCTAGATTTATTTTTAAAATGCTATTAGATTCACATTGAAAATAATACAGTAATGTCACAGGCACCTTTGTTCATACAGCCTCCCAATGGCTCATTGATAAAGCTAAAAACTGGGTTTCAGTACCCGTGGTGGGTGCAGCACAGGTAGCTTGTTATGTGGTCAACTACAAAAATATACAAACTGTTCATGCAGATTGTTGTTATGGGAGATCTAGACCTACAGTCCATTACGTGAAGAAAAGTTAATGGTTGTTTAGATAGATTAAAACTGCAAGGCCTTAAAATGGATAGCAAAAAATACTGTCTTTTTATCAATTCAAAATCAAAAAATGTTTCACCAAAAACTTAAACTAGCAGCAGTACAAACCATGCTAATGACTTGGATGTTACAGTGGAACACAATTCAAATTCTGATAGAGAAGAACCCATAGATTTGTGTAAGGAATGTGTAAAAGAGAAGTTCACAGGAGGTGATTTAGCCATCATGGTGCCAACAGCTCAACTCTTTATTTCATAGAACAGGGGTAATGTACATAGGAGGAGAGTTAGGCTATCACGGTGCCAACAGCTCAGCTGGTTAGCTCATAAAACAGGGGTAATGTACATAGGAGGAGAGTTAGGCTATCATGGTGCCAATAGCTCAGCTGGTTAGCTCATTGAACAGGAGTAATGTACATAGGAGGAGAGTTAGGCTATCATGGTGCCAACAGCTCAGCTGGTTAGCTCATAGAACAGGAGTAATGTACTTTAGCTATTGTAGGCAACAGGTTTTATATGAAGACTGGTTTTGTTACAGGCAAGTTTTGTAGGAAAACTGGTTTTGTCACAGGCAGATTTTGTAGGAAGACTGGTTTTGTCACAGACTGGTTTTGTTACAGGCAGGTCTTGTAGGAAGACTCATAAATAGCAGGAACTATAAATTTAGGTTTTATAAATTACAAATATGTATTAGATATATGTATGATAGGAATAGTAAAACCATTTTATAACAATTTGTATGAGCATTTTATGCGCTTTATGCGCTGAAAACGTAATAGTTCAGTCTCTTATAAGTTATAATCCAAAAACTATTGTACGCTAAAAATGTTTCATGATAATGTCGTGCCATCTGTTGAAAACTTAAAAAGTATTTTAAAAATAACCATGGTAATTGTTCAGTAATTTATCATCTGTCACTTGATTTAGTTTTTGCTTTTGTAAAACCACTAACGATTCGCACTACTTCATTTTTTCTGCTCTTAATACACAATTTAATTTCATTTAGATTTTGACATCTTTAATATAATTAATGATCTTCGCCATAGGGAAAATACTTTTTATCATCCCATTATTGTTTAACCGCATAGAAAAATCTGCGAAACCCCTTTAAGTTGTCTGTTCTGAAGAAAAAGAAAAAAAGAAGCAACATTACATTAACAACAAAGCCTCGTGGACACTGGATATGACAGATTTTATGTGTTTAACACATTTTTATACTTTCTTCTTTACGTTCACTATTCAACTTTTAAAATTACAATTTATAGAGTTCTTTTCATGGTCTAAAGACAAATTCGACCCACTATTGCATATGGATTATAACTAATATTTAAATATTGATATTATGCAATTTTTCAATTTTTGTAAATTACAAATAGAAGTTGGCTTTGCAATTATCGAAAATAATCTGAAGATATTTGCTATTGTAATAATTAGAGGATACGGGATATTGAATTAATAATGCTGAAACAATTTCCGTGTTTTTCTGTTATTTATATTTTAATTTTGTTGTAAATAAACAGTAAAAAAATCAGGTTAGGCTGAAAATTTTTTTGATAAACCAATTAAAGTGAAAATATGGTGCAGATTATTTGTTAATAAACTAAGCAGGAAAATAAAATATATGCACGTTAGTTCAGTATTGCGTAATAATTGTGACATTTACTAAACACGTCTGGTTTTAGTGTCTATAACTTGCGCTTAGAATTTAATGTGAATGGGATACAAGTCAGGCCTAATTTTATTTCTGCACCTAGTGTTAAGGTTTTAGTGTGAATGGAATACAGGTCAGACCTAATTTTGTATCCACACCTGGTGTTAGGGTTTAGTATGAATATGATAGAAGCCAGGCCTACTTTTGTACACCTGATGTAAGGATACAAGTCAGGCTTAGTTTTATGTCTGTGCCTGATTTTAACTTTAAGGTTGTGACAGAATTCTGACAAGCCTGATACTATGGATAGACTTGATGTTTATAGACATACATATTGGTGGGGGCAACAACTTAACGTAGTCTCAACTCATGAAAGGCCCACCTATGGATGTCTAAAATAATACTTTTTAATCCCGAGGTATATCTGATGATACTCAGTCCTAATTTATATAGGCTTACTTGCATGATACATAAAACAGAACGAGTCAAGCACCTGGTTTCTAGCAGACATTCCGGTATACTTTCAGATACCTTCATTGCCTACAGCCAGTGTTTTCCAAACATTAAATACAGCAAATATTCCATTACACCCTCCCCCCCCCTT